GAGAGAGAGAGAGAGAGAGAGAGAGAGAGAGAGAGAGAGAGAGAGAGAGAGAGAGAGAGAGAGAGGAGAGAGAGAGAGAGAGAGAGAGAGAGAGAGAGAGAGAGAGAGAGAGAGAGAGAGAGAGAGAGAGAGAGAGAGAGAGAGAGAGAGAGAGACTCTGATTGCGCAAACGCCCTGTTGACCCGAATGTCGGGTTGGCGGAGTTTTGCGTGTTGTTTCTGGAGCCCAGAAACATCTTGCCTGAGCACTGCGCCTGTTTTGGCCTCTTGCGAAAGTGTGTATCGCCGCCTCTCGGCGCGAGCCGCAGGCCCCCAGCCCCTCGGCGCGAAGCATCCGCGCGCTCGATCGGCGCGAAGCGACCATGAGCCACCGCTCGGTGCCTGGAGCACGCCGTTAGGCGTGCGGCGGGTGAACATTTTGACGCTGGGAGATCGGGCCGTTCAGCACGCCAACCGATTGGCGGACTTGCTGCAGCGGTACCACGCTGACTTTCTTAGGCTGTACGGCAGGCAATGCATCAAAATCAAGATGCACCTCGTCCATCACGTCCGAGGCCTGCGGCTTTCTTTTTCCGCTGCCCCACTATCCGTCTGCCAGCTTGGAGTCATGCGGCCAAACCCTGGCTGCCCTAGCGAGTTGCCGCGGTCAGCATAGTGCGGTACAGCGCGTCTATGAGTGGAGCGGGCGTACATTGTAACTGACCTGCCTGACGACCTCGCCTTGGGCAGGGTCGGCGGATGCCGCAGAACTTACTTTTTTTTCAAGTCAACCTGGATTGTTTCAGTTGCGAGCGCAGGAACCGTCTGTTGAAGGCGGTGCTGGTTCATTACAAAGGTGTCAGGGGCTTTGACCCAGCGGGGCCCATCATTGGCAGGATAGTGCTAGATCTGGTTGATCGGATATCGAATTCGTCGTGTTTTCCAAGAGCCCTGTGCGGGGTTTCGAAGCCAGCGCCAGAGATTCTGGACCTCTGTGAAGGGCCGTCTCGGCCATGCTCGGCATCAGTATCGAAGTCGATGCGATGGGAGCGCGGCGTTTTGCGGCGAGGTGACGTGATGTCGGTCCAGGCAGTGGGCCTCCAATACGTCAAGGCGGTTGGGTTCGTGGACTTTAGGTTCTCGGACAACCCCCACGTGCCAGAGTGCCTGGTCGTGGCAGCCCATTGCCGCCAGCACGAATCCAACTCTGACTTGTGGATTGCCGACGGCCCAATGCATCTCGTGTCACCAGATCAGATAGCCGACGTGCATATGATTCTCTTAGCGGGCGAATGTTTTCGCCCCATCGTCAAGGATATATGAGTGCCAATTTTAGGCGACTCGTCATGGTGGGCAAGCGCCCGCACGCGGCGACCCCTTGGTGCATAGGTGGAGGGGGGATGGCGAGGGGGAGGGTTCGGGGCGAGGCAGGGATGCAAGGAGTGCAATGAGGGAGGTGGCGGCAACGAGCGAGCGAGAGAGAGAGAGAGAGGGAGAGGGAGAGGAAGAGAGAGAGAGAGAGAGAGAGAGAGAGAGAGAGAGAGAGAGAGAGAGAGAGAGAGAGAGCACGACGATGAGGAGGAGCAGGGCTGCGGGAGCCACGGGGTTGGCGGTGAGCAAGGGGTGGACGATGCATGTGTTGATGCATTGGTGTGGGGGGTCCCTCGGGCGATTCTGAGAGCAGCGTTGGGATCGAAACGACGCTATCTTCTTGGGGCCATCCTGGGGGTTCTCGGGCCCACCACGTGGCCATGCCGTTCACGGCGGGCGGGGTCTTGCTGAGGGCACCTTGGGCGGTTCAGGGGGTCCTTTCTCAGAGGCTTACGGAGGGATCCTTTCTCAGAGGCTGACGGAGGGCGGGTTCGGAATTATTGAAAGCATGCATCTAGGCACTGTTAAGTTTAGAGGAGCTGCTCAGACATGCGGCAGCTCCGATGGGCACGACGCTTGCTTCTTGCGAGCGCGTGTGCTTGGCACGCGCTCATCGTACTGAATGCAGACCCCGCAGAGGATAAACAAAACAACCAGCGGACAATTGGCCAGGTCGGGCTGGCGACCGAGAGGGGTTTGCCATTGGATGGCAAGGACAGGGGTGGAAGGGAACGGCTAGTCGGGGGCGGCACGGCGCCCCTTCGTGACCCGACCCTTCCTTGGGCTCCTCATCGCCACTGCCTGACGCAGCTCGGAAAATATGTGCGTTTGCTGCCGCCCGCCAGCCTTGCCCCTGGAGCGATGGGCGTGGCGCGCGGAGAGAGCGCGCCGATCTTTTCTCGACCGCGTCTGTCTCGCTGCCAGCCGCCTGGCAGCGTCGTCGTCGAGAGGGGGGCCATCGCCCTTGCCAGCGCCCCCTTCCAGCCGCCCCTCTCCTCGCCACCCTCCCAATGACGTAGTCCCACTGCCCCTCCCTCGCCCTTGCACCCGCAGCCCCGCCCACGAGCCCGCGCGGGGGGGGGGTCTGGATCGCGGCTTCGACGATGGCGACGGTTGCAATGGCAAGCACGCCGCAGGTGTTCTTGCGCTCAAGACACACGACCAGCATGTCTGAGTACGGGCCCCCTGTATTCGGCCCGATAGCCACCGTGCGCGAGCCCCTGCCATCAGGCACGATCACAGCATCGCAAGCGCAATGGATCTTGCATCTGACGTGGTGCAAGGCCCGCGTCAGGAGCCGTACGTTCGGGCGCGAGCTCGTGGCGACGGGCCGTTCGAGCTTCCTCCAGCATGCGTACAATGAGTGCATGCGAATGGTAACGATCAACGGCGAGGAGGGGGGCAGGAGGTGGGCCCCCAAGACCATCCCGCAACCATCTTCTTTCGCTGGGTCGAGCGCCGAGTGGGCCGCCGTCACAGCGGGTGGCAACTACCACTGGACCGATCGGTGGAACCCCCTCGACCCGATGACCATCGCGAGCGGAGGAGCGCCGCCGCGGGGGGCGGGGGGCCAGATGCGGAGGGCGGGGAGGAGGAGGAGGAGGAGGAGGAGGAGGAGGAGGAGGAGGAGGAGGAAGGAGAGGGGGGAGGAGGAGGTGGTCGAGCTCCATTGCGACCAAGGTCCAATGGTCGGAGGATAAGACTTTGGGTTACCCCCTCACTGACGCCGCGGCACCCCACAACTGGAGGGCGCCAGCGGCGGCGCCAGTCGGCATCCGTCGGCGCACGGCCGCATTCACCAAGGCTGACTGACAGCTCTACTGGATCAAAATGTGCACATGTGGTTTTGGATGGCACCAGAAATCACATCCTTTGTACTCCCTCCAGGGACGCGCTGCACACTGCTCAACTCGCACTCTCATGCACGACGACGCATCTACGTATATGTATATGCACGGTCGGGCATTGTAGAAACGAGGATGATGTCGGGGAGGATGTAGGCGAGGTCAATGAGGATGAAATGGGGTCGGAAGGATGAGGAGGAATGCGAGGTCGGGGTGGCGGCAGCGGGCGCCGCCGACGTCGGGTGCGACAGCGACGTCGGCATGCGGCTGCGGCAAGCATCGGCCCTCCGCCTGCGCAGGATGCGATCGCGGACACGCTGCTGCTGCTGACCAGGGCCACGTGCTCGCTCACGTTCCTGCCCAGGCCCGCGGCGGCGCGCCGCCACCCATCGCCCTATCCGCCCCGTCTTTCTTGCGTCGTCGTCGGCGCCGTCGTCACTGTCGCCTGTGCCGCCCTATTGGTCCACTCTCCGTACCTGGGCACCGTTGCATCTTCCCAGTGACACTGTTCATACGGGGCGCGGCATGCTGGAGGCCCATGGCGCGCTGTCGCCCGAGGGCCGCGCGTCTCATCATCTCTCGCTCTATCCGAACCTCACCCCCTCCCTCCGCCCCACCCCCGCCCCCCCTCCCCCCTCTTCCCCATCCCCCCCCTCCGCGCGCCGCCGCAGGCCGCGGAGAACGAGCAGCTCGTGGAGAAGCAGCTCGGTTCGAACGGCGCGTCCTCGGGTGGGCCGCCGTTGCCCTGCCTCCCTCGCCCCGCGGCTTTCCCCTAGAGTACCGATCCTTGCTCTTTGGGCCCCGCCGTCGCCGTCGCCGTCGCCGTCGCCGTCGCCGTGGCCGCCGCCGTCGTCGTCGTCGTCATCGTCGTCGTCGTCGTCGTCTTGGGGGCCATCTTGAGGCATCTTGGGCTATCTTGAACTATCTTGGAGGTAACCTTGGGCTCTCTGAGGCGCCTTTGGAGACGTATTGGGCCATCTTGGAAGCCCCGCCCCCTCGCGAAACTCCCTGTCCAGGTCCAGGGGGCGGGTGTAGGGGGAGGGGCAAACCCATCCCCGAAGGCGAGGGGGTGGGTTGGAAGGGGACACGCTTTAGACCACCCCACGCCCTACAGGGCTGGTGTGATTATTTCTCCCTTTCCTCCTTCCCCTCCTCCTCTCTCCTTCTCGCCCTGCTCCCCTATCCTGCCCCCCCATCCTGGTCGCCCCGCCTTGCCAGCGATTTAGGCCCTGATTCTCCGGAGCTCGGCCCCCCCCGCCCCCGCCCCCGCGCCCGCGGGCCCCGGGGGTCGGGGGCGCTCCGACGACGACCGCGACGACGACGGCGGCGGCGACGACGACCCTGACGACGATGACGGCGACGACGCCTCCTGGGGCCGTCGTGGGTCTTCCTTGGGCCGTCTTGGCCCCTCGAGGGTGCCCCTCGGACAGCCTGGGGGTGAAGTTGGGGGGCCCCGTGGGCTGCTTGGGTTTCTGGCCTCTCGAGCCGTCTGGGGGTTATCTTGAAACCGTTTTGGGCCGCATTGCGGTCCTCTCGGATTGTCTCGAGGCCATCCTCGGCAGCATGGGAACGACCTCAGGCGGGTTTGGCTCCTCTCGGAGCGCGTTCGGGCCGTCTTGGAGCCTCGTTGGACCCCTCCCTTGGGGCGTCTTGGGCATGAGGTATATCATGGGCCGCATGGGGCGCCTTTATGCTCACCCATCGCATCTCTGGTCCAAGTCATTCTCCTTGACCTCGCGCTGTCAAGCTTAGCCCTGCATCGCAGGCAGTTCGCGCTCGTGCAGAGCAATGTCCCTCTCCCCAGCAGCATCCGCCTCTGGACCCGACGCGGCGGCGGCGAGCGGCCAGCTCGTGGCGGTCGAGGACGTGGATCTCGGCTTTTGCTACCTGTGCTGTGACACCATCACGGACGAGGCCGAGAAGCTGGTGGTGCAGGAGGGCTCGGACACCCGCAGGAAGATCGCGTGCCACAAGAAGTGCAACAGCCTCAAGAAGCGCGTTCAGACCGTCCGCAACAACGTGTCGGGCTTCGAATGCTTCTGCGAGGTTGAAGGCGACCAGCGGGCCGAATTCTACAAGACGGCCGTCGGGCTGTACGGGCCCGACTTGCAGAAGGTGATGACGGAGACGTTGGAGACCAAGCGCGTGGATTCGAACGTGGCCGACTTCATCGAGGAGGGCGACTTCATGGAGGTCAATGAGGCCCGCGAGTTACCGCGCTTCAAGCGCGACCCTGCCGCCTTCCAGAACCTGCTGGAGCGGGCGCCCAGGAAGACGTGCGCTATGACGGATATCGAGTACGTGTACGTGCCGAACTACAAGTTCTCGAACCACAGGAAAGTGACGGATGAGAGCACCAGGGCGAGGCGCATCTCAGGGGCGAAGACCATGAAGAAGCCGAAGGCGCTGGCAGCGCCGAAGGGGCCGAAGGAGCCAGCCGCGCCCAAAGGCTCGAATATCCCGAAGGGCATCCTGAACAGGAGCGACAAGCTGGAGGAGCGCATGGGCCAGTGCATCCTCGACACGGCCGAGTCCATCATGGTTGCGAAGAGCCCCGAGGCCGACGGCCACGTGTCCGCGCGCGCCCTGGAGCAAGCTGTAGCCTCGCACTCCAAGCTCGAGCAGGCCCTCCAAGAGTTCAAGGAGGTTCGCACCACCGAGGGGCTCACGAAGGAGACGCTCGTGCTGAAGATCGAGCACACCGAGGCCCTGATGAACTCGCACATTGACATCCAGTCCAAGCTCGACGGCCATGGGTTGTCCAATTCATCAGAACGCACACGAGCTCGAGTAGTTGTTTGCTGTGTGGTTCGAGGTATTTTTTCCCAGAGCCAGGTGGGCGGGCCATCCTCGTCGCCACGGTTGGACGCAGCTCGAAAACTCGGCTCCCCAGACGGCCGTTGCCACCACTCCCATCGCCCTCCCCAGTGGGTCACTGGGGAGGGCGATGTGGCGGAGGACAGGACGAGGACAATACGGGGGGCGGGGCGTCAGTAGGTGTGAATGGAGGGGAACGTGATGACGGGCGAGAGGGTGGGTGGGTGGTCGGGCCAGCGCCGCAGGCATGCTCGAGGACGTGGCGGAGCCCATCTTGGCCGCGCAGGCGGAGAAGGATGCGGCGGCGACGTTGGGGGAGTCTTCGGAGGAGGGAGCTGCGGGGGCCGCAGCGGCGGCGGAGGAGGCAGGGGCCTCGGGGCCCAGTGGATCGGCGGCGGGCGATTCGGCCGCCCTTGACCGCGGCGGCTCGGGCATGGCTTCCAGCGGCCTCGAGTCGCCCCAGGCCTTTGTATCCAGGGAGTCGGCGGCGTCGGCTGGAGTCGCACCGTTCGCTGGTTCCGAGAGTCTTCAGGAAATCTTCGATGCCGAGAATTTCGTTGGCGAACCCGAGAGCGATGCCCACGATTCCGAGGGCGATGCTCTCTCGGCCGACACACTCCGACTCGGGTCGGCCCAGGTGCCCGCGGCCGCTGGTGCTGCGGATGGCGCCGATGGCAAGGCCGCGGGGCGTGGCAAGCGCAAGGCCGTAGGGGCTGCCACGACCGCCAGGCCCAAGGCCTCGGGCAAGCAGAAGGGGAAGGGGCGTGGCAAGGGCAAGGCCAAGGCGAAGGCGAAGGGCATCAAGGCTAAGGCTTAGACGGTGTGACCTTGGCTATCGTTAGAGTGCGCAGTTTTTGGGTAGCTCGGCCTTGCGCGGCGCGTAGGGCGCTCGGCCAGAGCTCAGTACGTACACTCGTCGGCTGTTGTGGTTTCTTCGCAGGCTTGCTGGTTGCGCAGCTCTTGGGGCGCTCGCGCCCGCTGATTGATACAAGCTGTGCGAGCGCTCGCGCTCGCCACCTACAGGGTGCTCGCGCCCATTGCAGCTGGTGGCGCTCGCGCCAACCCTCGATCAAGTGCGCGCAAAAAAACACATGCATCATCATCACCGCACACCCCACCCACCATCACTGCGCATCGCACCCAACATGTGCCACCTGAGCAGGGGTATCAGCAGGGTGTCAGCTGGTGTCAGCGCGTTGAGCGCTGATGGTATCACGCATGGGTGTCAGCGAGTATCAGATGATGGATGTCTCAGCTAGATCGGGTATCAGCGCATTCCAACTTGATGGGTATCAGCGCGGGTGTCAGCGCGTATCAGCTCCTCAGGCCTTGCGATCGTTGCGAGGGCGACAACGGCGACGGCCGTGACCACGGCGACGACTACGGCGATTACGACGACGACGGCAACGACGGCGACGACGACGACGATTCCCGCCACCCTATCCCCCCGTCTGCCGACACCCACGCAATCATTTATCCGAGCGGGCTTCCAGGGGCCGATCCTGCCTCGGCCGCGGCAGCGCCTCCGCGTGGGCGCCGAAGAGCAGGGGTCGCTGGCCTCGTGCGGGTTGGGCGACGGTCCGCTTGAGACCCCCATGCGCTGCCCCCTCCCATTTCGTTTTCCCAATCCAACGCCCTCCTTCTTATCGCATTCGTTCTGCCATGTCGCCGCCCGCCACTTCTTGGGCCCCCCTCCCCAGTCATTCCCAGCATGTGCAGCGGCGGCTTGCGACCAATGATTGGCGAGTCGAGCGCCCAGCCATCCCATCCAGAAACGATGCCCTGGAGAGTTGACGGGGGGGCCGAAAGCACAAGTGCATGGACTGATCAACCAAGCGGGCGGGCGGGGCGCGCGGGTGGAACCAGGGGGAGGGGGGAGGGGGGGGGGAATGGGGAGGTGGATGGGGAGGGGGAATGGATACAGGAGGAGAAGGAGGATTGCGGTGGCGATAGCGGGTGGCAAGTGCGATAAGGGGGAGGAGGGCAGGCCTGGTACTCCAAAAGCCCAAGAGATCCAGCCTTCTCGGTAGGGGGGAGGGGCGCGGCTCGACTGTGCTCACAATGGGACGAGCTAGCCGACATGTAAACGACCTCCCCCCCTCCGCCCTCCCTCCCGCCCATCGCGCATAAACAGACATATCAGAAGTGTTGGGCGAGCGAGTAGGTATCCCGTTGGGCCTCATTGGCTCAGAAGGCTAATGATATTGTTGTCATTAAGTGCTCTCGCCCGCAGCTCATACAGGGCCTGGTGCCTGCCGCTTAGGCGGATTCGTAGGACACGTGGCTCAAGCTTCCGACCGCGCGCCCTCGCACAGCGAACTCAGTCTGAACTTGCGCCTTCCAGGGGATGGCGGGTGCCGAATACGCTGTTGGCAACTCTGGCTTCAGCGACGACTCGTGCCAGTCGAGGCTGTGGGCCAGGGCGCCCGTGAATGCGTGGACGCCCGAACCGCGCGATAGCACGCGTCCGAATTCGGGCGGTGCGGTTGGCGCTGGCGGGGGCCCCTCTGATTTGCCCGACTTGCCCGACTTTGACGCGAAGCCCAGCAACTCCGACGAGCTCGGCCCGCCAGAGGACGGCGACGAGGGCGGCCAGGGCCATGCCGCCGATCCAGCCGACAGGGCGGAACCTGACAAGGTGGGCGACGACGTCGACGGGGCGGGATCTGACAAGGTGGGCGACGCCGACGCCGAGGCGTCCTCGACGCCCACGCCGCCCCCTGGGGCAGGCGGCAGTGACCTCCCCCCCCGACTACTTCGTCTCGGCCGCACCTTCGACTCGATGGATGTTGCCATTCAGTGCGCCCGCAATGCCGTCTTCATCTACCAGGCGCTGGAGGATGAGATTGGGGCTGCCCCGCCGCCGCACTGTTCTCGGAAGCGGAGGTACCACATCGCGTTCGAGGTCCGCGACGAGATCAAGCGCCTCACTGAGTGAAGCTGGGCCGAATACGATTGCTGTAAGTTGCAATTGTAAGGTGTTGCTTCAGGCGCAGCGCATTCTGTGTTGCTCCTAGATATCAGTGAAGGGCTCGCCCTGTTAGCCACTAGCCGAATGCGGACGGCTGGTCGAGACAACTCTGGCGCTCGCGCCCAATTCCGTAGTGCTCGGTATGTTGCGCCCTGCGACGACGACGACGGCGGTGGCGGCGGCGGCGGCGACGACGGTGGCGACGTCGGTTGCGGCGGCAGCGGCGACGACGATCACGACGACGACGACGACGACGACGACATCGGCGGCGGCGACGTCGGCGGCACGGCGTCGTCCTCCCCCGCCTCGACGTCGCCGCCGATGCCGTCGCCGCCGTCGCCGCCGCCGCCGACGTTGTGCTCGTCGTCGCCGTCGTCCTCCTCCTTCTCCTCCGCCTCCGTATCGACGTCGCCGCCGATGTCGTCGCTGCAGCCGCCGCGGTTGCCGCCGCCGTTGTCGTTGTCGCCGCCGTTCTCGTCAACTTCGCCGCAGCCATCGTCGTCGTCGCCGCTGTCTACCTCGTCGCATCCGCCGCCGTCGTCGAGGGCGTCGTCGCCGTCGCCGACGCTTTTGCCGCCGTCGTCCCGCCGCCCTCCCCCCGCGCCTGGTAGGTGCGTGGGATCGCGAACGGCTTCGGCGCGCAGCCGTTCATGTGCATCCGTCGGTGCGTCCTCCGCTGCCGCGCCCAGCGGGGGCCAGCAGCCAGCGCGCGCTCGGTAGAGAGGGTGGATGTCTGGATTTTGAATGAGGGGTGTGCTGGCGATTGGGGCGGGGTGGAGGGCGCTGATGGGGGTGGGCGAGGAGGCTGCAGAAGGGGGGGGATGACAATGACGACGATGATGAGGATGGCGAGGAGGGCGAGGCGGAGAGGGAGGGGGAGGGTACGACAACGACGGCGACGACGACGACGACGACATCGGCGGCGGCGACGACGGCGGCACCGCCGACGGCGAACACGACTTGGAGCTGGGGGGGGGCCTTAAGAGCAAGGGTCGGCGATCCTCTGATAGAGCAGGGAGCTGCCGCCGTCGTCGTCGTCGTCGTCGCCTCAGTCGGCGTCGCCCTCCCCCGCCTCGACGTCGCCGCCGATGCCGTCGCCGCCGTCGCCGCCGCCGCCGTCGTGGTGCTCGTCGCCGTCGTCGTCCTCCTCCTTCTCCTCCGCCTCCGTACCGACGTCGCCACCGATGTCGTCGCCGCAGCCGCCGCGGTCGCCGCCGCCGTTGTCGTTGTCGCCGCCGTTCTCGTCAATTTCGCCGCAGCCATCGTCGTCGTCGTCATTGTCTACATCGTCGCAGCCGCCGCCGTCGTCGAGGGCGTCGTCGCCGTCGCCGACGCTTTTGCCGCCGTCGCCCCGCCGCCCTCCCCCCGCGCCTGGTAGGTGCGCGGGGTCGCGAACGGCATCGGCGCGCAGCCGTTCATGTGCATCCGTCGGTGCGTCCTCCGCTGCCGCGCCCAGCGGGGGCCAGCAGCCAGCGCGCGCTCGGTAGAGAGGGTGGATGTCTGGATTTTGAATGAGGGGTGTACTGACGATTGGGGCAGGTGGAGGGCGCAAATAAGGGTGGGCGGGGAGGCTGCAGAAGGGGGAGGATGACAATGACGACGATGACGAGGATGGTGAGGAGGGCGGGGCGGAGGGAGGGGGAGGGCGCGACGACGGCGACGACGGCGGCGGCGACGACGGAGACGACGACGACGGCGGCGGCGGCGACGACGACAGCGACGACGACGGCGACGATCGCGACGTCGGCGACGAACGACGAACGGCGACACCGACGTATCTCACTGGTCCGATCCACCCTCTATCAGCTCTGATTGTCGCGCCGCCATGTTTTCTAGGCGCTCGCGTGCCATTGCCAGGCCCGCCGCCGATAATGCGACTTGCTTCCGCCATCCGTGCATATGTACATCTGCGCATTCATGTTTAAGGTGTGCGTAAGCAACAGCGTTGCACGCTCACAGACTGTCGAGGGCAAGCCTCGCCGCCCGACGATGGCGGAGTCTTCGCCGCGCGCGGTGGGAAATAGCAGATATGGCACCCCTCCTCCCCCAACCCTTCTTGCATGTGATTTCTTAGGGCATGCGACCGTGTGTTGGGTATTTGTTTTCTGTGGGGCCCCCTCCCCTCCCCGCGACGGAGCTGCGCGCCTGCTCGGTGGTTGCCTTTTGGCTGGGGAACTTCGCCAGGCCCCAAGGAGCCTCGGTCGCTCTCGCTGCATTGCGCGAGATGTCGCCAAGCATTGGAACTTGCTTGGTTTCTGTTGCCCTCAGTTCGTGCACGAGCGTTTTCAGTGGCCAGTTCCGTAGGTACGCAGCGTGGCACGTGCATTCTGTGTCGTGCGCCGCACGGCCGTGCGGGGGGGAGTTTGGCAGGCTTGGAGCCACCCAATGGAGCCGCAGGCCTCGGGAAGCACCCAAGAGAACGATACGATGCACATAGGCGTCTGCTAGGGTGTCGCGTCGTCTGGGCCCTGGAGCCATATGGGAGCAATCCAGATGGTCATGTCCAGGGCATTGGTCCCGACATTGTGCATGGGGTTGGAGCGGCAGGCTGTAAACCTTCAGTATAGCGTTCCTCCCCCCCTCCACCCCCCCGTGGCCCCTCGTGCGCATGGAATAATGACGCCCCTCCCCCTCCCGACACCCCGCGCCCTTGCTAGGAATATCGAGCGCACCTGGGCCAACGTGTCAATGCATGGCTAGTGGCCTGGGGGTGGAGTGGGTGGTGGGGGGCGGGGCGCGCCCCAGGCCATGCGCATCGAGCCCCCTCTGACGGCGCTCAAGGGCTTTCGTTTGGCGCTCGGCGGGTGTGAGGGGAGGGGCTATGGGGGTAGTTGCACATCGGCACC